TTGAATGTGTGGAAGATTTCCCCTGTACACCAAGCAGGTCACCAGCTGGGTGTCCACTAATTTAATCCTCACAATATCTACCTAGACATAGTGTTAAATCCCACAGGTTGAAGACCCAACCCCACAAAACTGCCCTCCCACATGCCGATTGAAAAGGCCCATATAGTTTTATCTGTACTTCTGATTGACCAGCTTATATGTTGGGGTTCCCACAACCCCCCCCCAGGTTTGATTGATTTGCTAGTGGCTCATAGGACTTCAGGAAATACTTTACTTACATTTACCAGCTTATTACAGAGGATGTTATGAAGGAGATGGATGAAGAGGTGCCTGGGGCCAGCTATGGGAGAAGAGATGAGTTTCCACACTCTTTTAAAAAAATTATTTATTTTAAATATGTGGGGTACAATTCGGGTTAGGTATACACATGTTCATTATGCAGGTATCCTTGTTCATTATGCAGGTACCCCCCTCCCCTGGCAGTTTCCCACTACTGCCAGTACCGCCTCTGCCCTCCCCTGGCAGTTTCCCACCACTGCCAATCCCTTTCTTATAGCATTTCAATAGTTGTTCAAGGTTCGCTTATGAGTGAGAACATGTGATACTCAGTTCTTTGTTTCGGTGATAGAGCACTCAGTATTATAGCCTCTATGTCCATCCAAGTTGCTGTGAAGTCCATAATTTTGTCCTTCTTTATGGCTGTATAATATTTCACTGTGTATTATGTACCACATTTATTTTTTATCCAGTTCTCTTTCAGTGGGCAGCATGGTTGGTTCTCTGTTTATGCTATTGTAAATAATGCTGCAATAAACATTCGTGTGCAGGTTTCTTTTTCATAGAGTGATTTGAGTTCCTCCAGGTATATTCTCAGTAGGGGGATTGCAGGGTCATATGAGAGGTTGATTTTTAGATCTTTTAGCAATCGCCATACTGTTTTCCAGAGAGGCTATGCTAGTTTACACTCCCGCCAACAGTGTAGAAGTGTTCCCTTTTCGCTGCATTCTCTCCAGGATGTGTTGTTTTTTGAGTCATTGAAGATGGCAATCTTGACTGGAGTTAGGTGGTATCTTAGTGTGGTTTTAATGTGCATTTCTTTGATGACTAGTGAGGCTGAGCATTTTTTCATGTATCTGTTGGCTGCTTGTATGTCTTCTTTCGGGAAGTGACTATTCCTATCTTTTGCCCACTTTGTAATGGGGCTGTTTGTTTTTTCTTTTCGGCACATTCGAGTTCCTTGTAGATCCTAGATGTTAGGTCTTTGTAAGATACACATTTGGCAAATAGTTTTTCCCAGTCTGTGGACTGTCTCCCTGCTCTCTTGATGGTTTCTTTGGCTTTGCGGAAGCTTACCAGTCTGATGAGATCTCACTTGTCTATCTTATCTCTTATGGCATGGACACTTGGGGTTTTGATCAGGAATTGGTTACCAATTCCAATTCCCATAGGGTGTCTCCTGCATTATCTAAGGTTCTTATAGTTTGATATTTTACGTTTAGGTCTTTAATCCATTTAGAGTTGATTTTTGTTTATGGTGGTAGGTAGGGGTCTTGTTTTTATCTTCTGCATGGAACTTCCACAGTTCAGCTACATCAGAACCCATCCAGACCCAGTCCTTTTGAGTTTTTTTATACTTTTTAAAATTTTTATGGAGGCTTCATCATGTAGGCATGACTGATTAAAGCATTGGCCGCTGGTGACTAGCTTGGCCATCAGTCCTCCTCTCCCTAGAGATTACAGGTCGGGCCAAAAGACTAAACCCTCTGATCATGCTTTGCTCATTAGCATACACAAAGACACTTATGACTTTGGAGATTCTAAGGATTTCAGGGGCTATTTGTTAGGAAATGAGGAGACCAAATATATATTTTACAGTATCACAGGTGTCTTTAAAGAAAAAGTTGTTATTTTATGAATATGTAAAATTTACTAATAAAGAAAGAGCATGTTAAATATTTCACGGTGGCTTCTACATTGTAGGCACTTTTTGTATTATTAATTTAGTATCCCTAACCGTGAGGTAGGTAGTAGGATTTTCCTGTTCACTAAGCCTCAGAGAGCCTTATTGAGCAATTACTTCTGAGCCTATCTGTACACTACTATATTGTTTAGCATGGCACCATTTTTGGTCATTATTTTTCTCTCCAACTGTGCCTGACTTCTGTTTTCCCATGGTTTAATTATCCTATTCAGCCTTGCTATTTGATATTATCCTAGTGTATAATAATCAGGGTTCTGAGTTCTGTATGCTGTAGGAGGAGAATAATGGAGAACTGACTCCTTTATGTGCTAGAATTAAATTTAAGGAAAACATTTATATTGCTTAGACTTACCAATTGTTTGAGGCTTTCTATGGCATGATCATCTTTTTTCTCTTTGGAGAAGAGGAAATTGGGAAGAGGTAAAAAATAGCATGGTATCAACCCAAATGAGTTTGTTGGAAGAGATCAGAAGCTAGAAAGAGGAGGCCCTGAAGGAATGTTTTAAGGAAAAAAGATATGACTAGGCGTACTTTATTATTTAAACTGTATGGAAATCTACTTTTATTAAACTAGTAATACAAGTACTTTAATAGTATTTTATTTAAGATAGTTGGTCTTGCTAGCAGAATTTGATATGGATATTATCGAGTTCTTGATAGCTTTATATTTGATGTCAATGACTAAGTGAGATAAGCTACAGTACTTTAGTGCCTTCTGCTAATTAATTAAAAGTAAAGTGAACTAGGCACTTCCTGAACAGTAGGTAAAAGGATCTAGAGGCAGAAAGATCAACTAGAAAATAGTCTCATCCAACATGAAGGACTATGTTCAGGTACCTGCAACTGAACTCGAAAAGCCTTATGAATTGACTTCAACAAGAGGGTCAACCACATTTCTATACTTGAGTATGTCCAGTGATTTTATTTTACTTCTTGTGATGTTTATAATTACAGTATTCTCTTATTAAAATAGTCTCTAGAGTAATTTCTTTTGTGGTTATTATTGCTGGTCATTTCAGCCTTAGATTATCTTTGATATAATTGTATAGAAATCTGAGTAAATTGAAAAATTTGACCTAATTTTAAATATCTTCTTTACTGTGGGTAGCTTTTTATTGATAGCAAATGGTCAAAAAGGTGTTTTTGTTTTGTTTGGGGCTGTCCTGAGAAACTCACGTGATTATTTATATCCCTATATGGCAGTGCATTCCTGCATGTATAGGCACACATATTCCTGCAATTATGTTCATCAGTCATTATTTGTAGAAAGCTAAACTGTTTAAAGTAATTTAGAAATTTTCCAATACTTAAGTTTTATGTGGCAATTACCCTCTGAAGTCATCAGATCTGAGTTGGAATTATAACTCCTTGGATCCTTACCATTTTTGTGATATTGGGCAAAATCGACCTCTCTAAGCCTGTTTTCTTGTTATTCAGTGGAAATCATAAAGTCCTTAGTACGGTGCTGCACACGTCAGGTTCAGAAAATGGCAGTTACCCCCGCTGATACTGACATTGTTACTGACATTGTTATTGACAGCTTCTTGTGAATCATGTGAAATTTATTTATGTGATTTTTTAAGTGATTATAGCAGAGGCTTTCTCAGTGTTGGGAAATTGAGCTTAAGGATTCTCGATCATCTCTGCTTACCCTGATTGTAATACTGCTCTTCCAGCATTACTAATAATAGCTAACATTTTATTAAGTATTTACTTAGTAAGAGCCTTATATATAATTTTATTTAATTTTTACAATTCTTATGAAGACGGTGTTATTGCATCTTTTTCCTGATGTGGAAATATAGGTGTAGTAAGACAAAGTAACCTCACCTGCTGGGCAGAGGGAGGCTTTGCATCCCCTTCAGGTCTGTGTGACTCCAAAATCCCTGCTCTTCCGCCCTACCACTGTCCATTTGGTAGTTTGCCCTTTGCTTATCTGTCTCTCCAAGGAGACCCCAACTTTCTGAAAGTGGGGACTGGATATTGTTTGCATTCCAAATTCACATTTATTTTTCAAGCTTCTTTAAATTAAATGCAGTGTATAAAGAGTAATATCTGAAAGTGTCCATTTAAGTGAAACTTAATAGCTTACTAAGAGTATTTACTTATTAAAAATAGCAAAACTTCCTGTTTTGATGGGAAACTTGAAGCATCAGGACTTGTTTTTCAGCCCCATTGCCAGTCTCTGCCATGAGAACAATTTGCATTTACTATATTTGGCTTTTCATTAATGCTAGCAAAGTATTCACCTTAATCGTCTTTTCAGGTTATAAGCTTCTTTCATCATTGCAATACAGTACTTGGCTCAGTTCCTGTATGATAACTGCTTAATGCATATTTGACTTTAATTTATTTCAGTGTCAGTATTAATATTTATCTGAAGTATTTTTAGATGATTCCTGTTGCTTGGAATTTATCAGTGAGCAAAGCAACAATCCCTGCCTTCATCTGAGCTCATGTCCTGGTGAGGGGAGACAGATGAGGACCACTAAACACAACAGGAACATTATTTAATATGTTAGGTGATAAGTGTTATGGGAAAAAGAAAATAGAGTGGGGAAAGGGTGGTGGCCAGAGAAGTTTCCGTGAAGAATGAAAGGAGGTGACAGTGAATATTTGGGCATGCTCCAAAGGGAACAGTGAGAACAAAGCTCCCAAGGAGGGTGCCTACTTCTTAGGGTTAGTGGGGAGACTACTGTGACTGGAGTGGAGTGAATTGAGACAGGTGGGTGGGGATGTGCAGGGAGTTGTAGGGGATGAGATCAGAAAGAAGGTAAAGGGAATGTGGGGATACTTTTGTGTTACGGGATGAATTTGGTAGGGGGTATGTGTGTCTTTGGGGAGGAGATAAGAAATTCCACTCTCTCTTTTCTTAATCATGTATTGATTTGTATGCTATTTTCTATTTGTGGCCGTTTGAACTTTTTATTTTAAATAGTCCACTAATATTCAAACACTTAAATTTCTAGGCCAGTTTACAATATTAATCTGTGTGCATTTTGTTTTGTTTTTTTCACAGGAGTGTGCTGCTGCTGTTCTGCCTTGCGTCCTCGCTACAAACGCCTGGTGGACAACATATTCCCTGAGGATCCCAAAGTAATTTGATCCACATCTACTGACCCTTCTCTTTGCTGACCCATCCTGCCCCCCGCTGACCTCCCTAAGGTTTCCCTAATTTCATTTCTCTACTTGTACCCCTACATCTCATCATGTATACTATTTTTATACTTTCCTTTTTTTTTTTTAACTTTTAAAAGACTCCTGCTTGCTTGTTTAATTTTCAATTCTTTTCATATATTAGGCACAAATTTGGAGTGACAGACAATTGATGTTCTTTTACAGTATATATAATGCCTAGTTTAAGTAACTTTCATAAAAAAATGTATGAACTAGCTCTAGATTATTTATACTAAATGCTCAGGATACAACTGTGAACAGAAATATGGTTTTCTACTCTTACCAACCACATAGATAAGCAAATTGGTAATGACGATGTTGTATGAAAAAATGTTGTAACAGACAAATGGAGGGCAGGCTACTATTGGAGTAGACAGGAGCGACATCTAATTTAGGTTGAGGAGAAGAAAGGCCTGGAGGAAAGGAAATCTAAGCTAACATCTAAAGAATAAGTAGGAGTTGGCCACACAATTTATAGAAGAGAATTGAGAGGTAAAGACTGTTCTGGGAAGACTTATGGTTGTTTATTTATTTATTTTTACTTAAATATTGTTTTTTCAATAAAAATCAACTTTATTCGTGAAGATTACTGGTTTCAAAGCAACTGGGTTTGTGTAATTTTGTTTGACACTGCCTTAAACTTTCTAAGATTCCTTTAGTTTCATGTTAAATGGGTATGAACAAAAACATGTTGCATGGGTTTTGACTTCTAGAAATTATTTTAAAATGTAGCTGGCTACATAAATCTCTTGGCTATCTTAACGTTAGCTTAATGTTGATATAGCTCATTTTTAATCAAATCTGTTTAAACATTTAGCTATGTAGAGAGGTTAATCAATTCAATATTATTGGCTGCCAGCAACCCTGGATAATTTTTGGCATATTAAAAACCCTAAGCTATGATACTTGCCTTTAAGGGCCTTTCCACCTATTAACTGACATAAAATAAGAACATATGAAGTAGTAAATGTATTTAATCAGTACGTAGAATGCTAAGTAATTCGGGTGGAACATTTTTGCCTCTAAAGAAGGGAGGTCTCACTGTGGGTTAGCAATTTCGGGGAAGCAGTCTCAGAGGAAATGAGATTTGCTGAGCTTTGAAGGATACGTATCATCTGGAGAGGTAGACAAGATTAGTCTCTTCATTGCAATTGAGGGGAAACAGAAAAGATATAGGAGAGCAAGAGATGCCTCTGAGCAAGTTGACCCGCTAGGCTTCAAAGGTTCATCTAGATTAATTGTAGAGTGTATTGGATAGTAAGTGTTGATCATGGTTTCTGATTTGAAATGTGAGGTGTTGCCAGTTAATAGACTGGTTAGTCAGTCATTATTTCCCTGAAGAATCTGGGACATAGGGTTACTGAAGGTAAGGTGGAGGCCAAATGTTGGAGGAATATGAATGACAGGCTAGGCACCTACTTTACCCATTTTAACTCGTAGTTAATGAGGGAATTTTGAACACTTGATTGTGGTGGTAGCAATAGTAAATTAGAGAATGATTACAGAAATAATCTTTACTTTTTGCCAAGGATTTATTTAAATAGGAATATGTAAAATAAGATTTAAAAAAAAGTTTATATGAACCTTGCATACATAGGGCAAACATTACTCAACTTGCCATATTTATTTTTAATTTATTGAAACAAAACTCTTGCTATGTATCATAATGGATCAGACAGTAGGTGCTCAAATGCAGAGGTATGTATGTCGTAGTTCCTGTCTTCAAAGAACAATCTAGTGGGGGGGACATATAGGCAGTTTCTTAAAATTACTAGCCATGTGATCTTGGTCAAGTCCTTCAGTTTCTTATCTTATAGTGAAAGTAATAAATAATAGCTATGTCATAAAGCTCTCTTAAGGACTAAGTGAGTTAATATAATTCTTTTTTCACTGTTGCTTTCCTAGTGTCTATCACAGTACCTGGCACATAGTTGGCTCTCAGTATTTATTTAATGAATGGAAAGACAGAATGATAAAATGTCACAGCGAAGTTAAGTGCTGTGAACTAAAAGAACATATAGTAGGAACATCTCACCCAGTCTTGGGAGGGAGTTTTGGTAAGGTGCTATGAAGGTTCTTAGGAGGAAGATGAGATTTGAAGGACGAGTAGGAGTAAAGAAGAGAAGGATTCCTTGGCAAAGAAGTGAGCTGAGTGAAAGAAGTTATGCACAAAAGAGCTGCAAACTGTATGATTCTGTTTATGTTAAATACATCTGCTGATTCTTAGTGATGAAAAGTACAGCAGTGGTTGCCTGAAGAGGGAGAGATGGTCTGCAGAGTCCAGAGGGAGCCTTTTGCAAATGGTGGTGATGTTCTGTACGCGTTGAGCATCCCTGATCCAAAAGTCCAAAATCCATAATGTTCTGAAATCTGAAACTTTTGGGACACTGCCATGACATTCAGGGGAAATGCTCATTGGAGCATTTTGGATTTGGGGATTTTGGATTAGGGATGCTCCACCAGTTAAGTATCTGCAAATATTTCAAAAACTGAAAAAAATCTAGAATTGAAAACACTTCTAGTCCTAAGCATTTTGGATAAGAGATACTCAACCTGCATCTTGTTTGTAGCGGTGGTTTCACAGGTTTATACAACTGTCACATTTCAAATTTCATACTTTAAGTAGATGCAGTTGACTATATATAAGTTATTCCTCAGTAAAATTAGTAAGGGATTTAAAAATGGAGATGAGGTATAATCATAGTTAAATGATGATGTAGAAAATTGATTCAGAGGGAGAAGTTAAAGAATCAGGAATGGGGGGAGGGGCATCCTACTGATGCAGCCAGATCCTGGGGCTGTGTGGAAGAGAACAAGATCAGAGGCCACCAAGTCCTCCTAGATAGGAACATTAGGCTCTTTCATTTTGCCTGGGGCAGGGTTTCTCAGCTTAGGTTTTTTGGCATTTTGTTCCAGGTAATTCTTTGCTTTTGGGGCCTGTCCTGTGCATTGTGGAACGTTCAGCAGCACCCCTGGCCTCTACCCACTAGATTCTTACCTTCCCCAGCCGTGACAGCCCAAGGTGCTCTTTGGGGCAAAGTTACTTCTGGTTGATATCTGCTGGCCAAGAGGGCATTGAGAAAGCAGGGGTGTTTTATCAGTAAATTCTAATCTGATGGCTTCCACATTTCTGAGAAAGAAAAGGGTTCGTTTGCTGTCAGAGAAGGAAGAAAGGCAGCAAAGTGGCAAGTTTGAGGAAAGTGGAGTAGTGCAAAAATAGGAGGATGTAACTCCACTAGGGAACCAGTGAAGTTGGAAACACAAACCTATAACGTTTTTAGTTGTAGAGTTGTCATCTGACACAAAATTTTTTCTCTCCCTTCTCACCTCTTACAGTATTCCTAAGCAGCATTTACTGACTTGGTCTTCATATGGCCAAGACGTTTAGGGTGATGATTGGGGAGAATAGTTAGATCTGTTGCCCATCATTCTATAGAGGGTGGAGACAAGTGACAGTTTTATAATTCTATATCAGGGATCTGTTATTGTTACTTTTTTAATGTACTGAATAAGTATAGATTCATATAGTTCTGAATACTCTCACATTCATTAATTACAGTAAAACTATAATGATATCGGTAAGTTCTGAATCATTAAAAATGCAATATGTTCACTGTTGTATTTGTAAAGTCAAAAAGTCTTAATAATATATAAATCTCAAATTTTTAAATTTAAACAAATTTTGTTTGAAATTTTTCACTCAGCCCATTTTCATATACTGCAGATAATTAAACTGTCTCTCTGTAAAATTATGGAAAGTGTTAGTGTCTAATTCATTGTTTTGTGAAAATACATTTAAATGTTTTGCCTAAATGGGGCGTTTTATTTTTTTAGCTTTTTGAAAGTTCTTTGTATCCATAATGCTAAACATTAGCACTAAGGAGATTATGTCCAGAAAGGTTCTGCATAAATACAAACTAATCTCCAATCTAAAACCTCCAAAAAGGAAAAATGTGAAGTCGGCAATATTTTAAAATACAAAAAAAAAAAAACAACAAAAACCGAAAATATAGATCATCTATTTATTTTGTTATTCTTCTTATCTTTAGGATGGCCTTGTGAAAGCTGATATGGAGAAATTGACATTTTATGCAGTATCTGCTCCAGAGAAACTGGATCGAATTGGTTCTTACCTGGCAGAAAGGTTGAGCAGGGATGTTGTCAGACATCGTTCTGGGTAAGGAAACTAATTGCTGCTAATATAGTAACTTTGGAAAATTTGTTTTAGGCTAAATCGTTACATAAGTTTTTTTTGGCATCTAGTCAGACAAAGATAATCTATGGTGGGTAAAATACTATGGTATGATACAAAAAAATGTGTAATACTTGATGCTGTAGCTTTTCTTACTTTCCTTGTGGTCAGGTTTTATGAATAGACTCGTTAGTTAACAGAGTTACCTTTAGCTTAAGTATTCATTAATTTTTGAGATTTCTCTAGTGGCAAATTGACTCTTTTAGTCTATCAGTGCCATACTGTAATTTAAAAATCAGAAGTCTCTGAATTGAAAACAAACAGAAAGATCCTGTTAACCAGTTGATTTTTTTTTTTTTTTTTCACACAGCTTCACTTTTACCTCCTAAAGAGGCATAAGATAGAATCATGTTAGGCTTAGATACCAAGGTTCAGAAGATGTACTCATGTTGATTTGGAACTGTGCTACCTATCTTCCTACCTATAAGTAAAGATCTGCCATCTAATGCATTCTTTGGTTTGAACAGCAATAACCTTGAAATTTGGATTAGAAATACTTTTATGGTCATCGTTTATTAAAGTATTTCATTTTCTAAGTGATGCATTGGCTTTCTACCTTCACACTGTTACCACTTCGAACATTTTAGTGAGTTGAGGCACAGATAGTTTTATGGTTAATTGTTGAAGGAATGTTATTTAAGGACTGAATTTTTTTTAAGATTGACCTTTTTTATTGATACATAATATTTTACTTACCTTTTTTTTTTTTTTGAGTTGGAGTCTCACTCTGTCGCCCAGACCGGAGTGCAGTGGCACGCCCCTGGCCACCGCAGCCTCTACCTGCTGGGCTTTGGCGATCCTTCTGCCCCAGCCTTTCAAGTAGCCAGAACTACAGACTACCACGCCCCAGCTAATTTTTGATTTTATTGTAGAGACGAGGTCTCCCCAAGTTGTCCGGGTGGGCCTCGAACCCGTGGGCTCAGGCAATTCACTCACCTCGGCCTCCCAAAGTGCTGGGATTACAGGCTGAGCAACCGAACCTGGGCCTGTTTTACTTATCTTTAGGGTACATGTGAGTATTTGTTACATGTATAAAATGTGTAAAGATCAAGTCAGGATATTTGGGGGTCCGCATCACCGTGTGTATTTATTTTTTCTATGTGTTGGAAACATTGAAGTTCTCTCTTCTAGCTACTTTGAAATATGTGATAGTTTGTTGGTATCTGTAGTCACTCTGCTGTTACTGAGTATTAGAACTTACTCCTTCTATCTAACTGTATGTTTGTACTCATTAATCAATCTCTCTTTATCCTCCCTCCCACTTACACACCCTTCCCAGCCTCTGGTATCTATTTGAATTTTAACTTTTAGTACGAGAATTAAAATCTGATGAATTGTAAAGTAAAATTTATGAGATATTTATTTATAATACTTTGTGACTGATTGTGTTTTATCTACTTATAGTTACAAATATAAGATTATATTGGAAATTTAAGCATACTGCTTTAATAACTGTTTCGGGCCACATACGAATAAATATGATTAAACGCCTGGATATTTGAAAATGTCCCTATTTACAAAGAAAAATACAAACAAAGATAATGTTAAAGATACTTGGAGAGAGTTGTTTTAAGGAGAAAATGAAGGAGGACAGTATAATTGTTGTATACTTTGACAGTAGAATTATTTTATAATCTACTCAAATCATTAATGCTATATGAGAATTAAGATTTTACTTAGACATTACTAAATTTGCCTTTTTTATTCTGTGTTTCAATAAGATTATTTCAATTGTTTTAATGAAAAACACTTAGGAGAATTAGGAGAGGTAGAATGCTTTGATGCTTTTGTTCTGTTACATGCAGGTATGTTTTAATTGCTATGGAGGCCTTGGACCAACTTCTTATGGCTTGTCATTCTCAAAGCATCAAGCCATTTGTAGAAAGTTTTCTTCATATGGTGGCAAAGCTGCTGGAATCAGGGGAACCGAAGCTGCAAGTTCTTGGAACAAACTCTGTGAGTAAAACTATTTTCTTACTAATTTCAATTTTAATGAGCATATCCAGAATTAATCCCTTCTTAGAATTTCTTTTTGTGTTAGATACTTTTTATTTCTACCCTTTTTTAAAAATTGTAAACTGTTTCAAACACAGAAGAATATGGAGCATAATATAGTATATCTGTATACACACTGATCAAGAAAGTAAAATGTTAAGCAATATTAATATCATTGAATGCATATACATATTCATTTTTGTTATAAGTAGTACATAGTAGTAATAAATGTTAATTCTATGCAACATTGGTTCAGATGTTTTTAAGGAAGTAATACATGTTGGGAGAGGGCTTAGGATGACTGACTAGAAGCAGCCTGTACTTCTCTGAATGGAGCAAACCAAAGGAGAGACCCTCAGCGCTCATAGCAGGATGTGACTGAGAGCACACCCATGTCCCACCAGGACCAACAGAGAGCAACGAGGGGAAAAAGTGGTCAGCCTGTGTTAGAACCAGGCAACCTCCTCCGCTGGGTGGCCAACCAGAGCAGTGAGCAACCTCTGGACGCGGGGGACATGTTAGCCTGGGAAATCAGGACTTTGAAGGGTCCTCAAGCCCTGCTGACTCCAGTCTCCCTCAGGAAGCTGCCTGGATACTATGTAGCCACGTCTACCAGAGCCCTCACAAAGCTGTGTAGGCAAGTGAGCCCTGAATGGCTCTGGCTGAGTCATCCCAGAACTCAATTTCTGCAGACTGCTTTCTGCGGCCAGATCCTAAGATCCTAGGCCGGTGAGGAAATGGGAAGTTCTGACACTTTCATTTGCCCCAAGAGCAAATTCCATTGCCTATGGTTGGCAGTTTGCATCATGTTGCTGCAAGAGGACTTGCTGCTTGCTGCACCTTTGAGCATGGACTGCCTGAGTCAATGGTGGAGGAGCTAGGTGGAACCTGCCACTCCAGTAACTCTTCTCTCCCAGTGAACTCTTGTGCAGCAGAGGTGGCACTGCCGTTCTTGCAGCATTGCCACAGTGGCCAGGAGACCTCCCCACTTTCTCACTGGGTTAGCCAGTTGCACACACAGGTGGGAATTTGAGCACAGACCTGTCTGACCTAGCCCACCCCAACCGGCTTTTCTTCGCACCCATTTTGAAAGTTCAATATGGACAGGGAATTTCGGGAGTCCCTATAGCCCTGCCCACCACCTGGGTCATCTGAATACTTCCCTGGGGCAATAAAGGCCAAGCAGAAAGCCCACAGCCACCACCGCAGCTGGCTCTTCAGGTGCCACCTCCTGGCCAGAGGTCAACTGACGCAGACCATTACAACATGACACAATAACACAGTGCTTAGGAAGGTCTATTCCCAGACCTCAGCTAACACTACTATCCCAGCCACCTCAGCCACTCAGGAGGCCTTGAGCCTGTGAACTTTACAGATGGCAATTGAGAAAGCCATCACACTAAGGCTACCTATAACCAAGGATATCCTGTAGAGTCTGCTTCATCTTTCTGCCAACCTCATTAGACCTAGTACTTGCTCCTGCCACTGGGAAAACAGAGGACTGACCTGCTCAACTCATTTCTGCCTAGCATTGTTATCCCCTGTCCCCCTTCAGGAGTAAGAGCAAAGACCATATCACTGCATATCTTGCAGACTAGTCCATAGTTTAAGGCATCAGAGAGAGTCTCCAGAGGGTCTTCCAGAGATGCCAGTGACCAACTATCCTTAGACTTTAACCCTTGTACCTTCACGTCACCAAATCCCTTGTAGACACTTTCCGGCAACATCCAAATCATGGCATCCTCTTAGGACAGCTAGACCCAGAAGAGCAACAGGACTCACAGTTGTCGAGCCCTTATGGATTGCCACCTCCAGGGGAAGGGGAGTGCATCATATCAGGGGAGCCCTCCATGGCACAAAAAATAAATAAATCCAGAGTGCAGGCTTCTCTGTGTCCCAGATCTCCCACCTGAGGCAAGTTTCTTTCAGCAGCAATGCAGACACAATGCTGGGCTCAGTGGAAGAAGGCGGCAGCTCTGCCCCAGCAACTGAGCAGCCTTAGTGCCCGTGAAGGGTCTTGGAGAATGGGACTTCTCCAACCCCTTGTCCACCACTATAGACATTTGCTTCTCTTGTGGGGGCTCAGTGTGAGTGCACCTGTTGACACCCTCTCTGCAACATTGTGGGGTAACTGCAACTCCACAAGAGGGAGGCCTTTTGGGCTCAGGATTGCACAAGGGGTGGAGTCCCACTCCCTCTCCGCATGGGATATCATCGTTTTTACAGATGTACAGAGGTGCAGGTTTGATCTGAAAATTTGGAACGACAGGACAGGGACATAATGGAAAAGTGTGTCACTTTCCCACCAGTCTGCTAGTGAAGCTGAGGTAGCTCCCCCCTAATCCTCTGCAAAGACTACAGTGCATCTCAATGAGAGGTTCCCTAGCCACCTCCATCAGGGCTGAGGCTTTAGCCTGTCATAGGTGTATTGCATATAACTACCTGCTTCAGCTGCAACCAGTTCTTACCCGTGAATGCCTTCTCCTGGCCTGAAGGCCAAGTGATTCAACCCGGAGAAAAAATATTGGGCGAGAAAAGAACACACCACACCACTGGGAACACAGTAAGCTTCATGAATCCTTTGGCATTCTAGACCCACAGGAGATAGTGAACACGCACACACACACACACACACACACACACACACACACACACACACACACACACACCCAATTATTGCTGCTACAAACAGCTTCTGTGAGAAAGCCAACACACAAAGATTCTCTGTCACTAAAAAACTCATATACAGAACCTATACCACTGAAAGCACCCAGAGTCAAAGCTAAACCAGCCTAAAGTATACACATTAAAGTCTTATCCCTAAGGAAAAGAAAAAAAATATTGAAAAACAAATTTAACAATAATATGAAGAAATAATAAGAAGGAACCAGAAAAATTAATCTTGGCAACATGAAAAAAACAGTTTTTGGGGTAACCCCTTCAGGTCCCCTCCCACTGTGGGAGCTTTTCTGTTCTCTCAATAAATCCTGGTTTAAAAAAAAAGTTTTTCAATTCCCCCAAAAGAGCACACTGACTCTTTAGCAATGGATCCTAATCAAAATGAAATCTTTGAATTCTAGAGATAGAATTCAAATGGTGATTATAAAATTGCTCAGTGAGATCCCAGAGAAAAGCTGAAAACCAGCAAAAAGTAGTTAAAAAAACTATTTAGGACATGAATTAAAAAGTATCCAAAGGAGTAGTCCTTAAAATATCTAAACTTCTGGAAATGAAAGACCCATTTAGGAAAGTACAAAATGCAGTGGCAAGTATTAACAGTAGACTGGACAAAGTAGAAGAAAGAATCTCAGAACTTGATGACAAGGCTTTCAAATTAACGCAATCAGACAACAGTAAAGAAAAAAGGATTTAGAGAACTGAACAAAGTCTCCAAAAAATGTGGGATTATGTAAAATGCCAAAACCTGAGAATTATAGGTATTAATGAGGAAGAATAAAAAGTAACAGATTTGGAAAACCCATTTGAAGGAATAATTGAGGAAAACTTCCCTGACCTTACCAGAGATTTAAACATCCAGATGCAAGAAGTCCAAATGACTCCTGGAAGATTTATTGTAAATAAGTCATCCCTAAGGCATATATTCATTAGGTTATACAACGTTAACATGAAGGAAAGACTCCTAAGAGCAGGAAGACAAAAGCATCCAATAACTTACAAAGGTAGACCATGCGGACCAAGATCAGACTTCTCAGCAGAAACTTTGCATACCAGAAGGGATCAGGGCCCTGTCTAATTTCCTCAAGCAGAATAACTGTCAGCCAAGAAGTTTATATCTCAGAAAACTAAGTTTTATAAATGGAGGAGAAATAGTCTTTCTCAGACTAGCAAATGTTGAGGAAATTTGTCAGCATTAGACCAGCTCTACAAGAAATGCTCAAAGAAGTGTTAATGTTGAAACATAACATTGAAATGTAACAGTAGAAAAACACTGGAAATTATAAAGCACAAGGTTTATAAAACAACATTAACGGAGATAACAAAGCAATTAAGTAACAACATGATGAATGGGGCAGTACCTCATGTACCATTACTAATTTTGAGTATAAATGGTCTGAATATCCTACTTAAAGGATATAGGTTGGCAGAATAGAAAACAAACAAATCAATGAAGAAACCACAATTCAGATATTGGCTGCCTTCAAGCAACCCACCTAACTCACAAAGACTTGTAGATTCAAAGTGGAAAAATATTCCATGCAATGGGAACCAAAAACAAGCAAGAGTAGCTATTCTTATATCAGATAAAATAGACTTTAAGATAACAAAAAAAGTCAAAGAAAGTAATTATATAATGACAAAAGGATCAGTTCAACAGGAAGATACGACGATTTAAAATATATATGCACCTAACACTAAAGTTTCCTGCTTTGTAAAACAAATTCCTTTAGACCTAAGAAAAGAGACAGACAGCAATATAATAATAGTGGGAAACTTCAACACTCCACTGACTGTAATAGACAGATCATCAAGGCAGAAAGTCAGCAAAGAAACATTGGACTTAGACTGTACTCTAGAATAAATAAACCTAGCAGACATCTGCAGAACATTCTACACCAAGACTACAACATATATATTTTTCTCATCAGCACATGGAATATTTACCAATATAGACCATATGATAGGTCACAAAATAAGTCTCAATAAGTTCAAAAAAATCACAGAGTACCTTCTCAGACCACAGTGGAATAAAACTAGAAATCAACTCTAAGAGGAACTTTCAAAACCAAATGCATGGAAATTAAATAATCTAATCCTAAATGATCTTTGGGTCAATAATGAAAGCAAGATGGAAATTTTAGAAAAATTTTTGAAATGAATGATAACAATGATGCAGGTTATGGAAAATCTCTGGGATAGCCAAACTGGTGCTCAGGGGAAAATTTATAGCACTTAAGGCCTACATCAAAAAGGCTGAACAATTACATTTTAACAACCTAATGTCCCAACTCAGGAAAACAAGAACAAATCAAACTCAGTGCTAACAGGAAAAACACAAATAAAAGAGCAGAACTAAATGAAATTGAAAAAAATATATAAAAGATCAATGAAACAAAAAGTTCTTTGAAAAGATAGAATTGGTAGACCTTTAGGGAGAGTAATTAAGAAAAGAGAGAAGATTCAAATTAACTCATCAGTGTAGATATTACAGCTAATACCACAGAAATTCAAAAGACCCTTTGAGGTTATTATGTACACTTCTGTGCAAACATTAGACAATCTAGAGGACATTGATATATTTCTGGAAATGTAACCCCCCAACATTTATTAGGAAGAAACAGAAACCCTAAACAGACTATGAGTAGTGATATTGAATCAGTAATCAAAAGTCTCCCAACAAAAAAAAAAAAGCCCAGGAGCTGATGGATTTATAGCTGAATTTTTCCTGACTTTCAAAGATGATCTGCTACCAATCCTACTTAAGCTGTTCCATAAGATTGAGATGGAAGAAGTCATTCTGACTCATTCTATAAAACAAGTATCACCTTGACATCAACAATGGAAAGGCACAGCAAAAAAAAGAAAACTACAGACCAATACCCCTGATGAACATAGAGAAAAGCAACAAACATCCTCAACAAATATTTTTGACAAAGTTCTAGCAAACACAATGCACTAGCATATCAAAAAAGAAAAAAATAATTATGATCCAGTGACTTTTACCAGGGATGAAAAATGGTTCATCAGTCATAAGTCAATAAATGTGGTTCACCACATAAACAGAATTAAAAACAAAACCCTTATGGTCATCTCAATAGGTACAGGAAAATAATTTGATCTGTCATCCTTTCATAACAAAAAACCCTCAGCAAAATAGGCACAGAGGGAACATACCTCAAAATAATAAATGCCATATATAATGAACCTACAGCCAACATATTGAATGGGGAAAATATGTAAGTGTTCTCTGTCAGAACCAATATAAGGGAGAGATACCCACTTTCACTACTTTTCAGCATAGAACTGGAAATACTAGCCAGAGCAGTCAGACAAGAGAAAGAATAGAAGGTATTCAGATTGGAAAAGAAAAAATCAAACTATCTCTGTTTGCTGATGATATGATCTTAGACCTAGGCAATCCTAAAGACTCCAAAAGATGCTTGGACTTGATAAATGAATTCAGTAAAGTCTCAGATTACAAATCAACACATTTGTAGCACTGCTGTACACCAATAACAATCAAGCTGAGAATCAAATCAAGAACTCAATTCCATTGGCAGTAGTTGCCAGAAAAACAAAATACCTAGGAATATATTTAACCAAGGAGGTGAAAGATGTCTACAGAGAGAACTATAAATCACGGATGAAGGAAGTCATAGAGGACACAAACAAATGGAAAAACCTCCACTGCTTATGGATTGGAAGAATCAACATTGTTAAAATGACTCTAGCACCCAAAGTAACCTACAGACTGAGTGCAATCTCTTTTAAACTGCCAATGTCATCTTCCACAGAAGTAGAAAAAACAATCATCAGGGAGATACAAATTAAAACCACAGTGAGATGACATGTTACACCAGTCAGAATGTCCATTGTTTAAAAAAAAAAAGACACACAAAAATATTAGAAAGAAATAACCAATGTTCACTGCTTTGTAATTTTTTTGTATAAATATGAGATGCATGTAATATTGCGCAGAAAATAACATTTAAAATAACTTGACTGAGAAAAAAAATTCTTATAACAAAGTAAAAATAATAAAAAATAGATGTTGGTGCATGCGTGATGTAAACAGAAGGCTTATACACTCTTGGTGGGAATGTAAATTAGTACAACCTCTATGGAAATAAGTGTGGAGATTTCTCAAAGAACTAAAAGTACATCTATCTTTCAATCCAGCAATCCCACTAGTTGGTATCTACCCAAAGGAAGGTAAGTCATACAAAAAAGACACCTGCATTCGCATGTTTATAGCAGCACAATTCAAAATTGTAAAGATATGGAATCAACCTAAATGCCCATCAACTGACCAGTGGATAATGAAAATGTGATACACACGCACACACACACACACGCACACACATCATGGAGTACTATTCAACCATAAAAAAGAAATGAACGAATGTTTTCTGCAGCAACTTGGGTGGAGTTGGAGACCATTATCCTAAGTGAAATAGCACAGAAACTGTAAACCAAATACTGCATGTACTCACCTATAAATGGGAGCTAAGCTATGGGTCTGCAAAGGCATGTAGAATGGTGTGATAGGCTTTGGAGACCCAGAAGTGGGAGAATGGGAAGAGGGAAGGGATCAGTAATTACCTATCAGGTACCATGTGCGCTAATGGAGGTGATAGGTACACATAAAGCCCAGACTTCTTCATCACTGTACAAAACAATTGTGTGATGAAAAACCATTTATACCCTTAACACTACTGAAATAAATAAAATGAAATAAAACGTTAGAAAATGTGCTGGGTACTTTACATATATTATGTCATATAATTCTTAGAAAATTCTTCAAGCTTGGAAATGTTATTCCTGTCTTATAGACGAAGAATTGTAGCTAAATAACTTGTTCAAAGACAGTGAAATAATGCTGTATATAATGAGGATTTAGTCCTAGGCCTCTCTTCAAAACTTGTGTTCTTTGCACCACAATAAATACACTGTCATTATTGTGGATTAAGACTTAGGGAAAGCACAGATTACTTTCCTCCCCCCCCCCCGTTTTCTAAAAGTTCATTATTAAAAAGATTCTTTTGTATAAATGAGGTATTTGCTATTTCATTTGCTTCTTATTTGGATACTGCTTATTAATGTAACAAACAATAAGTGAATCTTAATATATCTATTCTACACTTTCAAGAATGTGGTGTATACTGTTTATATTGTTGTGGTTTTTTTTTTTTTTTTTTTTAGTTTGTCAAATTTGCAAATATTGAAGAAGACACACCGTCCTACCACAGACGTTATGACTTTTTTGTATCTCGATTCAGTGCCATGTGTCATTCCTGTCACAGTGATCCAGAAATACGCACAGAGTATGTATTATTTGACTTTATGACATATAGTAATTTATAGATGAGTACAGTGTTTAAACATTACATAATGATTACCAGAGAGAGGACAAATATGATTGAAATGTGACTTTCCATTGCTGCTGGAAGTTATAACTACTTACTAAAGTAGCAGGATGAGAGTGGTTTCCCAACTCACTAAAATTAACCATTTTCCCTGTAGCCTGAGTGTCTCTTCCTGCTCCCCTGCCTGTGTCGGATCCTGTCCGTCTGCCATGTCTTCTTCTGTCGCTCTAATCCAACCATGTGGGTCTCCTTGCTGTTTCTTGAACACTAGTGACACGTCTCCTCAGGCCCTTTGGACACGTCGGTCTCTGCCCAGAATAATTCCCCGGTGCCTGATTTATTACCTTCATTAGCTTTCTGCTCCAAATGTCCCCTTATCATAAGAGCCCCCCCCTTTTATTAAATATCAATTCTTCCATCACACTTCTAGGTATTCTTTATCTTCTTATCATATATCTCTGTTTCTTGCTCCTCTATGGAATATAAATTTCCAGAGGATAAGGACTTTGTTTTGAGGACTGCCTGCCACTTTGAATAGTGCCTGGCACATAGATAAAATGAATGAATGAATAAATAAATGAATGTATATTAATGAATAATTATCAGTCTGAGGTTGTTATGGTAACTGTCATGGGGGCATTTTTCAACAATTCTTCTGGTTGTATTCTAGTAAAAATCTGCAATCAAATACTTTGTCTATAAACACAGTCTGTAAGCTGATGTCTGTATACAAATTTGAAACTTTAAAGTTAAGAATTAAAGTCAAAATTACCTTGGTAAATATAGAAAGTAGTTTGATTGCTATCATCATACACCTAAAAAGCAAGAAATCAACCTGAATTTAGAGGTATTGTGGTTGTTAATGGTCAAGATTTAGCATATTTTATAATTTTTTACTTTTCAATTAAATAAGAGAATGTGCAGAAAGCTTTTAGTTGGACTATTCAAGCTACAGTGTATGTTTACATAAAATGAAAACAAGTATAGAAGTCATTTTAACTTCAAGAAACAACACTGGGAGGTAATTTAATAGTTATTTTCAGATACAAGATTTGTTTCTATCTGTGATGCTGTTAGTTTGATTTTTTTCTCAATATAATACAGACCATTTCGAGTCCTGCTATTATTCCTTTATTATGAAGTGTAAAGCCTTAGAGGAAGGAGACACTATAATTCTCTTTTAATAATTAATTTCCTGTTTGTTCCAGTCACCAGGAAAAGCCTCTTATTTTCCTCCCTAAAGGACATTTAAAAGATATTTTATAAAACTGTTCTCTCTTCTCAAAGGCTGATGTTAAGTTAGTAATAGGGCAGAGGTTAGCTATAGAATATGGTAAATTTTCTCAAGATTTTAACATTTTTGCTTTCTTTTAAAGAATGTAGTATGATTTTCTTCATTATTATAAATATTAATAAACTACTTATAGACCTTGCGCAAATTTTGGTTAAGGTAAGTTTCACATATTGACCAATGCAGGCGAAATATATATGAAAGGATACATTCAAGAAATTAAAAAATTTTTAGCAAAATGTATCGTATTTTTAGGTATTTATCGCCCCCTAGTGAAATATCTGCTCATTTGAACATATTTTCACCTGCTTTTTGTTTGTTCACAGCAAGAAACTTGAAGTTCTCTCTATATAAATGAAAGGACTTTCAGTACTTTCTCCTTACTCTAGATATTTCCTATATTATATGATATTTGAAGTTAATATCAACCCTTCCATTGCACCTTCCAGGCTACTCTCTCACAAGACATGATACATGTGGCCTTTTGTTTGTTCGTGTGTTCTATGCCACTTTGCGCTTGGCCTCCTTGTCACCCAAAGAGGAGCAGCAGGTACATAAAGCAGACACCTTTTGCAGTAACGTTAGGCTTTCCCACTTGTGATAGCTGCACAGTCTCTTGAGACTTCTGTGTTTTGGAAGCAGCACGTCTAGTCGCAGCTTTGAGATAGGCAGAGTTTGCCTTTGTGTCTTCCGATTCATTTTTCTTACCAGTTCAGCGTCATATTACTGCCACCTCCCATCCTTCATCTGCTACCCCCAAATGCCTGCATTCCACCACCATGTTTATATAAAATAATATTGCCTTCCCTTCTAATTTTTTCCATTCTTTAAGCCTATTTACAGTTTTAAGATAATGCTAGGTAAACTGAGTAAACCTTTAATTGGTGAGTATTTCAGGTAGTAGGAAAAAAAGGATGTAATTAACGATCATATTTGGCCAGAAGGAAGATGTCTTGAGACTAAGGGGCCATACAGTTAGCTCTGTCTGAATCTCTTCTTTTGCAGTTTTTATAACTGTTTTCTAGTCACTTCTCATTCTTGAACCTGTAGATTTTTCTTTCTTCTACCTGTTTTTAGAGACGAGTGAGGAAGAGCTTGAGGAAGTTTGGGGCTATGAATTGGGATGGGAGGCTAAGGCAGCATTCTCTCATTACTATACTGATACATCTTGAGTCACATTATCGCATTACCATCTGATCATGTATAATATGTCTATAGGCACATATGTATATACATATATGGCTGAGGTTGTCTGTGCTCTATTTCATACTTCTTGTTTCTTGTAATTTTGAAAAGGACCAGCTTAGTCTTCCACCTAGGTGGACTAAGGGAGGTAAGGGATTTTTAGGGAGGATCAGTGAGAGAAGTATGAAGAAGTGTGAAGGCTGTTCAGGAACAGTGAACTCCTGTTTGCACTCAGCTTTTGGAAAGAAATGGAGAGAATCTAGTCCATGTGAGTCATTATCATCATCTTGGGAAAACCTATGCTATTGATTTTTTAGGCTGAAAAGAATACATGAACTAGACATTTCTATATTTTACAGTCCTTTTAAATGTTAAATGCTTATTTTTTAAAAGATGATATTTAAAGTAAGCGTTTTTGGACATATCTTAAATTTTTGAGATTTTACTTTGACTTGCATGTTAAGATCTTTTGTTTTATTGTTAAGGTAACAATATTTGTTTGACATCCATTCTCTTAGCTAAACTTACCTAAATAGCTTTTTTTAATGGCTCATTTTCTTCTTTTTGTAGAATTCGAATTGCTGGAATCAGGGGTATTCAAGGTGTGGTTCGCAAAACAGTTAATGATGAACTTCGGGCTACCATTTGGGAACCTCAGCATATGGATAAGATTGTTCCATCCCTCCTGTTTAACATGCAAAAGATAGAAGAAGTTGACAGGTATTGAATAAGGAGGTTAGGGTTGTGGTTTTTGTTACTTTTGTGTCTATGTATGTGTGTTTGCTGGGATAAGAAAGTTTTGTCTTTAATACTGTGTACATATTAGTCTCATAAAATTAAGGGAGCTGAAAATATGTATCTTTCTGGAAAAATTGTTAGTCTGTAGTGATCACATTAGGTTTAGCAGACTAAAGATTATTATTTGTACATTTATTCTTTATTTTCTTTTGTAATAAGTTTATACTTTACTTTCTCCTTATTATCAAGCATCTGAATTTCTTTTAATAAACACTACTTAAAGTTGCTAGTGTGAAAAATAGAAATTATAGCTCAACTTCTGTTATTCTTTAGAGATTTAGCATGCTTTTTCACAGAGAGTCAGAACTAGCCAACCTAATAAAAATAGCTAGTCACTGTGTTTTATTATTTCAACAAAACAATTAGACACTGTTCATTTCTGATTGGTTCTAAGATATTTTGGAACTGAGTATTGGTTTTGGATATATATTTTTTTACCTACAACATTCATTTGCACTTAGAATTCTGTACTTTATTTCACTTTTCCAAATGCTGGAAGCATGCTTTCCCCCACATTTCTGTTGCTGTACACAGAAGTAAAATGTGATTAAGCTTTAAGAAACAATCTTCTTCAATTTGGCCTATTCTCCTGACCTTTCTGAGTATTACAGTTTGAAGAGGAAAATCTAAATCAAATTTAAAGGACATTCATCTCTGTAGTTCAAAAACTTAAATTTTTATTATAATTTTCATGATTATTTGTATCAACGTAAAAGAGGTCTAGAAATGAGATGTATTTTATAACTCTTTGGTAGCATTTATATCTTCATTTAAATGTATACTAATTGCAGAAAGAATCCTATTCATGCTTAATTCCCTAGATGTGACTGTCTCCAACTTTGGAAGCTTTTCCTAAAGTCAGAAACTTTTTATATTTCAGCACCATCTATATTTTTCCTATTCTTGACACTGTAACTGAAGTGAAAGTTTCCTTATCTAAATTTAATGGATCACTAGCTATTTGGGAACCCATTTCTCCAGATTATGACTCTTGAAGTCCAGGGTTAGCATAAGGAAAATATAGGGAATAAAGATCATTGTTTCTCAAATTTTAAATTGCATTTCCTCATGGTGTAATTTCAGTGCCACAGATGATGCTTTTTTATTATTGCACACGAATATATTAGCCTAAAATAATGTTTCAAAATGTGAACAAAACAAATATTGTCTACTAATGACATCTATATACACAGGTATTCTAATTGGCTTTTAACATTTATTTTTTTATTTATGGACTGGGTCATAATTTTTCACTGTATTTTTGCCCACTTACAATTTTGCTAGGGATACCTAAAAAGATCGTCTCAGAGCACTGTGTTCTTACTAAGATTTTGCTATAAATGTAGAAAAGTTATATGAAAAAAACAGCAAACTCTGGAGCATATTACTTACATAAGTGACATTCTATTAGTTAGAAAAAGTTGCACAGCCGAATTTAGTTCTTTCTATTTGAAAGATTATATAATTAGTTTTGGTGGTGTTAATTTCATGAAGTTAGAATTACGCTTTAAGTTTATTGGGAAAGCTTAATTTTAACTTCATGAATTTAACACAATCATAAAAAAAAGAATGAAAATAGGACTTTTGCAGCAATGTGAATGGAACTGGAGGCCATTATCCTAAGTAACTCAGAAACAGAAAACTAAACATTGCATGTTTTTACTTACACGTAGGAGCTAAGCAGTGGGTACTTACAGACATAAAGATGAAAATGTAGATACGGGGGACACCAAAAGGTGGGTGCGAGGGTTTAAAAACCACCTATTGGGTACGGTGTTCACAATTTGGGGAATGGGGACACAAGAAGCCCAATCCTCACCAGTATGCAGTATGCCCATGTAACAAACATACTTGTAACCCTGAATCTAAAATTTAAAAAAAACTAAAAGATACAAAAATATTTTTTAAAAGGTGTTGGGAAATAAAAGGGAAATGTTAATTTCCAAGAACTAGTATTAGAGTTATTCCATTAGTTATTTTATTTTATTTTATTTTATTATAAAGTTCTGGGATACAAGTGCGGATTAACTACATAAGTAAGCTGCTGAGGTGAAATTGGGGCTTCTAATTGATCCTAACTCTTCTTGGTATAGGACTGGGTACTCTTCGTGTTGTCGCATGCCCCCTGCTCTCTTGTCTCCCTCCCTTTCTCCCCTATAAATGCCCAGTGACTGCCAATCTCTCTCCTGTGCTAATGTTACTAGTGTTCAGGGCCACTTATGAATGAGACAGTGTTCAGTTGTTTCTGTAATAGTTCACTTAGTATGATGGTCTCCAACTCCATCCAATTTGCTGCGGAGTCCATGATTTTGTTCTTCTTTATGGCTGTGTAGTACTCCATCATGTATATATACAGGATTTTCTTTATCTAGTCAACGTTCAATAGACAGCATGGTTCCATGTTTTTACTATTGTGAATAGTGCGGCAGTAAACATGCATGTGCAGGTGTCTTTTTTGTAGAACGATTTATGTTCCTCCAGGCATATTACGAGAGGGATTGCTGGATCATATGGAAGGTCAATTTTTAGTTATTTTAGGAATCACCACACTGCTCAACCTCACTAATCATCAGAGAAATGCAAATCAAAACTACAATGAAATACCACCTAACTCCAGTAAGAATGGCCATTATTTATAGGCCATTCATTTTTTTTATTTCTCTTTCTTTTTTAGTCGCATAGGCCCTCCTTCTTCCCCTTCTGCAGCTGACAAAGAAGAGAATCCTGCTGTGCTGGCTGAGAACTGTTTCAGGGAACTGCTGGGTCGGGCTACTTTTGGGAATATGAATAATGCTGTTAGACCAGTTTTTGCGTAAGTAGTTGGTATTTTCCTGGTTCTTTGTGACTTTGCTGTATTAATTCTGTGTTGATTTACTTACAGAAGACAGGTTTTTTTACTGTTTAGTGGAACCAAAGTTGCATTGTGGAAGTAGTAGGGACTGAATCAGACATCATACCTTTGAGCACTGGTTCAACTACTTAGCTGGTTTTCCCCTTTTAGATATGAAGTATGATGATTTGATTAATATCATGTGTCATTTAACTTGAATCTCTACTCACAGACTTTGAAATTCATATATGCAGTGGAATAGTAAAACATGCAGAATGTCCAAGTATTATGTATCTTGTTTTACTAACTTCTGTGGTCAGTTCCTCTCATTTCTTGGCTTCTGTTTCTTGGTTGCCTTTTTTGTCATGGTTGGGCTGCCTTAAATCACATTCATTTCTCTGAGTAAATGTCAACTTTTACCTAATGACTACCAGAGCAAGAAGATTAAATATCTCATTGGTGTTTTCATGCTCTTCTTCAGGCAAAATGCATCATAAGCTTTGAGTTTTCCACATAGACTTCTCTCAAGTCTCATCAGGGCTTTGAGTGTCTAACTCAATCACCAGATGATAAATCATCTGCATAATTTTCTGTGTAATTTTTGAACATTTTTGCTAGTCTTTCTTTAGTGAAAATCCATGTTCTTTTCTACTTCTGACTGTAATAATGGCTTTATAGAATATGTAAAATATTCTAAATGTAATATCTAGAATTCTTGATTTAAGGCAGATGTCCTTAGCCTTGGGTTCAAAGTTGAACTTTCGTTACAAGAATCTATAAAGCACAAAGTTATATCAAAAAGCAAAGAATTATTTGATTTTTAAAGGGATTTATGATTTCCTCCACTTCCCCAAATATCAGGATCTACTGTTTAAAGGCTTTGTGAACATATGGAAGTGCTACTAAAAAAATAATCAGAATACGTGATGTGACAATTAAGTTCGTGAATTCATCCTAGAAAAAGTGCTACATACCTCATTGCTGAATATCACCATGGTCATCTTTGAAGTACTCTTCTTGGAAAGCTATACACAGATGCCACCACTTAGTTACCCATCCAAGCAATTTTGGAACTCTTTGTCTAGAGTGGGCTATCGTTGTGAGCATATCAGAGTTTGAAGTAGAGCAACAAACTAACATTAATTTCTTGTTAAACTTGACAAGAGTGGAAGTGAAATGAGAGACATGTTAGTCCAAGTTTATGGGGATCATGCCATGAAAAAAACAGCAGTGTACAAATGGATTAAATGTTTTTCTGAGAGAAGAGAAAGTGTCACTGGTGAAGACAGGTTAGGATAGGCAGTAACAAACAGAACTGATGAAAATATTGCAAAAATTTGTCAAATTGTGCATCGGAATCATTGGCTGACTGTGAGAAGCATAGCAGACCAAATAAATATTGATAGAGAAACACTTAGGAAAATCTTAACTGAAAATCTTGGCATGAGAAAGAAGTGTGCAAAAATGGTCCCCAAGGAGCTCTTGCATCACAGCAATGCACCAACTCACACAGCACTGTCTGTGAAGGAGTTTTTAGCTAGTAAACTAATGACCATATTGGAACACCGGAAGGTGTTCTGATCTGGCCCCCAATGACATTTTTCTTTACTCAAAGAAAAAGGAAATATTAAAAGGAAGACATTTTGATGATACTCAGGACATCAAGGATAATACAGCAACCGCTTAATGAAAATTCTAGACAAAGAGTTCCAAAATTGCTTTGACAGGTGGACTAGGTGCTTGCGTTGGTGCATCGCTTCCCAAAGGGAGTACTTTGAAGTTATAGTGATATTCAGCAACGAGGTATGTAGCACTTTTACTAGGATGAGTTCGTGAACTTAATTGTCAGGCCTTGTATGTTAAATCCACTAAAGGTAGATTTATTTTTTCATGTCCAGACATGCTGACTGAACATCAGAATTCAGTTTTTTATCTTAATATTCTTATTACCTGTGAGATAATCTGTAAGGTCATAAAAATCTAGAGAGCTAGCCTAGAAGAAGTAAGTTACTAAATAAACTGAGTAGGCTATGTTCTTTTCTACATAGGATTTAATGAACTTAAATCCTGATTATGTATTAGTAAATTATTTAAATTAAATGTTAAGTAGATATTATATAATTATATATTAGGTATTTAATCAGTTAATTAAATATGACAGCCTTCTGCAGGTAACATACCAGCTATTTTGGGAATATGTGCATGAAGAACAAATTTGATAGGTGATTGACAAGCTCAATATTTATAATATATGGTTTATGAGGAAGGCCGAAAAGTGCTCTAGGAGTTCAAAACAAAAAATTGATGCCTCATTTGAGAATTTAGGGGAAGTATCTCTGGTAAATGAAGGTAGATATCAAAAGCTGCTTAGGAAATTTTATTTTATTTGTAAAGAATGCTTTAGTTTAACTTTGAAGTTGGTTTTTAAGTTCAACTGTTGCTTGATCTAGTAAACAATATAAATGATTCAAAAGAAATTTGAATATTACTTTTTTGTTTTGTTTTGAGATGAGGTCTTGCTCTGTCATTCAGGCTGGAGTGCAATGGCATGTTTGTAGCTCACGGTAACCTCAAATACAGGGGCTCAAGCAATGCTCCTACCTCTGTCTCTCATGTAGCTGGAACTATAGGAGCATGCTAACACACCCAGCTAATTTTTATATTGTTTTATAGAGATGAGGTCTTGCTAAGTTGCCCGGGCTAGTCTTGAACTCCTAGACTTAACAGTCCTCCTGTTTCAGCCTTCCAAAACACTGAGATTACAGGTGTGAGTCACCATGCCCAGCCTGAAAATCACATTTTTAATCAACAGTGAGCGCAAGACACTGATAAAGTTGCTAGAGTGCCAGATGTGGTTTAGAGGTTAGTGTTAGGTAAGAAGAGGAGGACAGTCTAGATTATATTGTTAGAGATCTTAAAATTTTGTGTGTAATTAGTAGAGATCCTAGCTCAGAGGGATGAAAAAGGGCAGAATCAGATATAGCTATATAGCTAGATTTTAGCCAGGGTTAGTATGTTAGGATATTATGTAGCAAAATTCTTGACAAGTAAGCATAAGAATTGTAAGTAATTGGTAGTATACCTGAAGAGGTAAAGTTTAGTTTTCTGCCTCTTAGCAGAGTGAATTTTGAACTTTCTAGAAGAGGAGTGGTTCATTTTAATTTCAGGAAGTTTCACAACTGCTTTTAGTGCTAAGCAGTTTACTTCAGGTTTTTAAATTATTTTCTAAATAATTTCTCCTTTACTGTAGTTAAAATGAGTTTTCCGTATTCTCTTTTCTTTAGGACAAACATTCTTCTTTGTATAGCATTCTCAGATACAATGTATCTTTTGCTTACTGTGGATTAAAAATGTGATATTCAAAATTTTTATTGAATCATTTATTATCTTTACTAGAAAAAGCTACAATTGAAATTGCAAAACTTATGTCGGTGTTGAACTAAAGCATTATTTGCAAATAAAATTTCCAGAGCAGTGTTTTCCATTTTAAGAGTCACTTTCCATAGTCATTCATTAAGTAGAAATGAAATACACTGTGTTAAAACTAATCCTTACCAATGCCAGAAGACTTCTATAAGGTGCTAATTTCTTAAGCATGCTACTCAGCAACAATCTTTACTTTGACTAAAAGAAAAAATTATGTATCATATATTGTATATAGTGCAATGTAGGGATAAAACTTGTTTCATGTATTATGGGAATAGTGTATCAATACTGTTCTCATTACACATTTTTCATATACTATAAAGTTTAACAATGAAATAGAAATTTATTGAGCCATTGTTTTGTTAAGCACTGGCCAGGCCATGTTTCTTAGCTTTGGCCCCCTCCCCTACCTTGGGGAGGTGAATCTCCTCTCTCTCTCCCTCTCTCTCTCTCTAATTTATTTTCTAAATAAACCCTGTTTGAAAACTTAGAAAAAAGACAAGAAATAAAAATTTATTAGTGTGAGAGTAAATGTGCTTTTAATAATGTATTTCCTATGTAAAATATTTTTTTCTTTTTCTATTCTCCTATAACATCTGATTACTAAGAATCTGCCTGTTTTGTGTTTTGCAAACTATGGTTGTGATTTTTTTTAAACTGGAATATGTTTGGTTTAGGATTTCAGGTTTTGAGAGATTTAATGAATTAGGATTGAAATGCAGTATATCTTTAACTATGCAGTAGGGTTATAGCCAGTCAGTTATATAACGTATATTGTCCAACACTGCTTGGTGATTTCACATACTTTATCTCATCTCATCTTTGCATCTAATCTGTAAGGGGAAGAAGGTATTAACATTCACATTTTGCAAGTTTTTTGCATTGATTGATTCTATACCTCACAAGATTTCACAAGAACATTCTTAGCTCTAAATTATTCCTCAACATTTAAAAATCCTGTTGAAATTAAACTGGTTGTTGAATGCCAAAAGCTGTGATAAAAGATTAAAGCTCTCGATGCTTCTTGAACTTTATCACAAAGTAGAATGGAGTAAACTCATGTATTTGACCCTTCATTGTCAGGAAGTAGCTTGAAGTAAGAAGCTAGAAGTTTCTTTGAAGTCTCAGTGTTTTATTTTACAAATTATTGGAAAATTTACATACCATTATATAGTACCTTTATGGTTTTTGTATATGATGGAAATAAGGACTTTTCTTTTTTCCTCAAAAGTCTGAGTGAAATTGTTTGGCCAAAGGAATAGTAAGGAGAAAAATGTAGACTTCATAGTCCTACTGTACTTACAGATCTCTATTTAGTATCTATATTGTGAAATTAAAATGCTATTTGTTCAAACTGAATATATTTTGTGATCAGTTCTTTTAGAGGTGCTTAAGTTGAATTATTATTTTCTTTTTTCCTTTTACCATCTCAGCCAGTTGAGTTTATAGCTCTGCTTTTTCTTGCTTGTGCATCAGTAACACCTCAATATGAAATTCCCCACCCCTTTTGGAAAGATGTTATCAGTACTAAGTTATGTATATAAATCTAGGAAAGTGGTTCTCAGAAGTTCATATGCTTATGAATCCCTGGGATGCTTGTTACATGCAAAATCTTAAGCCTCCAAACCCATGGATCTTGGGTGCTGAGTGTAGTAGAGAGCATAGAAATCTATTTTTGGTTGTTTATTTTAACTAAATTCTAACATGATTTTGATGCACATTTTCTTAGGAACATGATTAGAGAATCACTGGTCTAGGGAGATGAGGCTTCTATTTTACAGAGATATAGTATTTATTTTGAAATTCTTTTCTTCCCTTTTTTCTCATACTACTTATTAAACTTCTTTAAGAGAGAGTATCTCGTTATTGCCTCTGGCTCCTTACCTCCCATGTTCCTGGCCTGGGTGCTGGGTGTGTGGTTGAAGTCTTTGGAAAGACTTTTGTTTTTCATGGCTCCCTTAGAGCTAAAGCTAAGACAGGCAAGTTCTTAACAGGCTCCTACTACAGAAAGTTCCCCCGGATTCATTGAGTGTGTTGTATTTTAGAAATCCTGAATTGATGCAGGGATTTCTCATCTTTTTTGAGTGGGCCTTAAGCTTTGTCTCATCTCCCATGCATAAAACACTAGATCTGAGCGCTGAAGAGCTGAAGATATGATTACTACAGGACAGCTGCTGTCCTTGGTGTGTCCTCACCTCTCTATATGCCTGTCTACTTGTGGAGTTCAGACTGAGGTGCTTTTCTTTCTTGGCCACTTGTCTAGGTATTTATAAGTCTTATATATACAGTTGACTCTTGAACACCATGGGTTTGAACTGTGTGGGGTCCACTTGTACATGGATTTTTTTCAGCCAAACATAAATCAAAAATACAGTCTTCATAGGATGTAAAATCATGTATATGGGGGACTGAGTTTTGTTATTGGCAGGTTCTGCAGGACCAACCAGGACTTGAGTATGTACAGGTTTTGGTCTATGCAGGGGTCCTGGAACCAGTCCCCCAAGTACACTGAGGAATAACTGTAGTTATTGTTTTGTGGCAGGGTTTGGCAGATAGGAAATATATGTATCATACTTCTGAAAGTATAAATAATAGATAATGTTCTGACTGTTACGCTTTTTCTATGTTGAGGGTTCTTGAAGAAGAAAGTGTGATTTAAAAATAGGGAATTCTTAAAGTAATTTTTAATTGTTTCTTGCAGACATTTAGATCATCATAAACTGTGGGATCCCAATGAATTTGCAGTTCACTGCTTTAAAATTATAATGTATTCCATTCAGGTAAGGTTTGGTTAACTATGTATTATATTTATATAAGTCATTTTGGCTCTGTATAGATGCACATATCATCAAATAGATATAGAGTACTGTAGGCTATAAAACGTGCTCTTAATTTAACTATTTTATCTCATTCTTTTCTACCACTTATTTTCTTATTTACTGAGATAAAAGATATCTAATAAAAATAAATAATTTTATAGTGGTACTTTTTATTATGCTTTTATTTAATACATGTATTATGTTTTTATATTTCACCGATGAACCAGTATTGAGATTAACATTTATTACAGCAGCATGTAGATGGTAATAAGCATTAATATTGAATGTTTACCATAGGATAGTATGTGTGTTAACTTCTTAAGTCTTAATAGGTCATTACAACAAATCACTTTATCTACTGAATAGTTGGTTTTTCTTCCAACATGGTTTTTCTTCCAACTTGAACACACCCCGCTGGTTCTTAATTTAAGAGGGATTTCAGGTTGTTGTAATTTACAAAATTTAACATCTTTAATACTTTAAAAAGTCATTATTACTTTAGAGAAGATAAAAGTTGTAAGAAGCAGCACAGTTTTAATATAGGTCATATCAGCATTTGCATCCTGGATGTGATGTTTACTAGTTGCGTAAACTTGGGAAACTTATTCACTCTCTCTGAGCTCCATTTTCATCTCTGAAAAGAAAATTTTAATGCATGCATTAAACAGTTTGTTTATATATTAAAATAGAAGCTACCATTTATCAAGTACTGGCTGTTCCCCATGACTATGCTAATAATCTTATATGCTTTATTTCATTTAAATCTCCTTACTCTACAAAGTGGCTATTGTTATAATTTGTATTTTTCAGGTCAGAAAACTGACCTTTAGAGAAGTCAGGTAACCCAAGTAGAAAGTGAATTCAAAATTCAAATTCTGATAATTTTTTTTTCTAGGACTCATAATTTAAATTAACCATTAAGTTAAGTCTACTGTTGCATACCTAATGAAAAGTAGATTTTCAATAAATGATAGTTATTTTAAAGCGTATTAGATATAGAAGGGCAACTTTTAAAATTTATTTTTAATTTAGGAGGTGAGAATTAATCCTACGATCTGGGGACATAATCTAAGGCTGTTGTTCTGATCTTTTCCAGCCTTTTATTTATTCTTAATTCACCCTTCATTCAGACTTGTTTGCTAAGATGAAATTATTCTTCGCAAGAAGTAAATTAATAAAGTTGTAAATTACAAAGTTAAGAAAACTTAGGAATCAATCAATATTTGTTGATTTAATATCCACAAAACTACTTCTGGTCTACAGTATTACTTTAGAAATAATTGCAGTTGTAACATGTTTTATGAAGTCCATTAATCAAGAATTAAATGGTAGTATACACTAGAACAGGAATATCTGTTTAGCAATACTATCCTGGTACAATTAAAATTAATGATATATTTGATTGTTTTAATTGCTATTTATAATAAAATTGGCATACGTATAATTCTTAAGTAATATTTTAACTTCTGTCTATAAAACAAACCAGGTAGCCCTAACCAGGATTGCATTTTACATTGAGATAGTTTCAATTATAGTAGGGCATTTGTCGTAAAGATAATATATTTTGTTTAAAGCTTCTCTATTCTGCAAAATTGATTTGTTAGAGAGTACTATAATGTGATTAAGATCTGTGCCCTGAGATCAGACTAGAATTCAGTTTTAGGCCTCCTGAGAGTTCATACCTGACACTGGGCACGTTACTAAAACCTACTTTATTTGCACTGGGAAGGGCACAGTGTAATTGAGTTGAAACTATTTCATAGAACTGTTTGTGCCTGCACTACATATAATATGATTAGCAGAGGTCCTGGGCATGCGGTTACTTCTGAATGACACTCCTTTTGTCATCATTGCTATGCTGAAATTTATAGGCCTGTATTAGCCCAGGAGTCACCAGCTAAAGAGTAGTAATAATAACTAATAATTATTGAGAAATTTTTATTTGATAGGCCCAATTTTAGTGCTTTACACAAATTTCCCCATTTAATTGCCACAACAGTTTTATGAAATGACTGTTGTTATTGTCTGAAAATTGTAGATAAGGGAAATGAGGTACATACAGCTTAAATAACTCTCTCTTAACCTGCGAGCTATTTAGCTGTTAAATGATGGAGCCAGAATTTGAATTTGGGCAGATTTAATCCCAGGGTTTACATTCTTAAACATTAACCACCTTATTATCCTTTAACATTATTTTAAACTTCAGTGCAGTGCTGTGTCTTACCATAGGTTAATGAAAACTCAATAAACCTGTCTTAAACATACCATATAAAGTATAATGTCTTTGCAGTTTCATTCCTTTTATTCCATATTCTTTTTTAATACATGATATTATTCTTGAGTTATTCCTTATAGGTAGAGTGAACACATGCCCTGGTTTGCTCAGGATTGCTATACTTTGTGTGTTTATTAACAACACCTCATTCATTCGCTCTCTAAAGTGTCCTGGCTTGGACAGTAAACCAAATGGCTACCTTACCTATAAGGCAGGCTTTAATAATTATATAAATTCACACATCAGAAGTATGCAGCTTCCTGGGCAAGAAGGTCAGTTTCAGGTTGTGTGTGTGTCTGCCTGTCTATCCAACATTTTTCTATTTTTACTCAGCTTTACCTGAAGCACAGTAAAGATTAAAATGCAAACTTAGTTTCTGTCTTGGGTTATTACAAAAGTAGGTGTGTTATGACAAATGTCAGAAATACCTGGCATGTTAATAGAGATGGAGGGGAATTTTTTGTTTTTGAGCAGATTAGCCATTATATATGCATCTTATTATAAATCCACCCATTACACAGGAGAGCGTAACCAGTTTGTAAAGAGGGCAGTGGGGCCTATCTGAAGGCAAACACAGACAGAGAGATTCAAACCACAGATCCTTTTTTTTTTACAACTTGGTGTAGGGCGGGAGACCCACTCGTGACTCACGGGTATAAGTGTAAGTTTAAAAAACAAACAGACATTGCTATGTTTAAAAAAATGTGTTCACTGGAGTTAAATATTTTTCTTGCTATGCTTTTTTTTTTTTTTTTAGATCCCTGTATCATTCACTGTAATTGATCAAATTTATTTATATGTGATAAAACTGCCTTTGTAATGGTAAATGTTGTCAGGTACACATTGATAAGATTTTCATTTTAATAGTGGCTCTTGATTAGATGAGAGACTTGACTGGCATTGTTAGATGTCTATAATAAATAGTATTTATCAAGTTTGAATAAGGCAGAAGTACTGTAAATGTCATAGTCTGGCTTTTTTTGTTGTTTTTTTTAACATTTTGTCCTATTGCCAAGTTATGAGAGTGTATAAATGTTCTTTGTGAAATTACAGAAAAGTATAAAGAGAATACAGATTTCTTATAAATTCTCTTAGGTGGCCAGTGTTAATATTTAGTTATATATAATTTAGATATATATATATATAATTTAATATAATAATTTTAGTCTTATTTGCTTTTAAAAACTAGATTGAATTGTGCTTGGAACTTGCAGTTTTTGCTCAGGGTGTCCTAAGTGTCTTCCCGCATCCCTGCTTATTTCTCAAAGGAATGATTTCTAATGAAATATTAGAAATATTGTCTTATAGCATGAGTACCAGTCGCCTATAATTGAACAGTTGAGTGCCACATGTTTTTTATTCTTATCAGCTCTGCCAGAGCACATGTACTTGTTCATACATCTTTGTACTGTTTTGTTTCCTTTAGGCTCAGTATTCTCACCATGTGATCCAGGAGATTCTGGGACACCTTGATTCTCATAAAAAAGATTCTCCACGGGTTCGGGCAGGCATTATTCAGGTTCTGTTAGAGGCTGTCGCCATTGCTGCTAAAGGTTCCATAGGTGAGTGCCAGAAATAAAGTAAAATCATACATTAAACTATTTAAAAATGTTTTCAGTAGGTATAGCAGTGTGTGTGGAAAACTCTTCAAGGATTTTTCTATGCATTTTTAAATGTGCTATAATTTCTCTAGAAATTTGGGTCTTGTGATTATTCTCAGGCTTCTTTTTTGTGTGTGTGTCAGAGTCTCACTCTAGCCCAGGCTAGAATGCACCACAGTCACCACAGCCTCAACCTGCTGGACTCAGGCTGTTCTTCTGCCTCAGCCTTCCAAGGAGTTGGAACTGCAGGCGTGTGCCATCACACCTGGCTAATTTTTTCATTTATTGTAGAGACAAGTTCTCACCAAGTTGCCCAGGCTTGTCTCAAGCCCCTGAGCTCAGGCAATCTTCTCACCTAAGCCTCCCAAAGTGCTGGGATTACAGACTTGAGCTACTGTGCTCAGCTGTTCTCAGGCTTCCTCCAAATTAATTTCTCCTTTTTTCCCCTTTCTTCTAATATAGGTTTCTGAGTATCAGTTATGCACTGAAAATTGGGAGAATACAGATAGAAGAAACTGATAGGTCACTTGTGGTTGGATAGCTCCACTTAGTACTAGAATACAAGACAGGCTTTTTTTGGGTAGGGGGAGATAGTCTCATTCTGTTGCCCAGACTGGAGTGCAGTGTTGTAATCCTAGCTCACTGTAGCCTCGTCCTCCTGGACTCAAGTGATCCTCCTGCCTCAGCCTCCCTAGTAGCTGGGACTATAGGCACACACCACAATACCAGGCTACTTTTTTTGTAGTACAAGGCAGGCTTTGATCACATAAGAAAACCAGGGTTCAGAGAGGGAAGGGAAAATGGATTAGCATGAGCAAAATATTTTGTGGCCCATTTTGGGTAGAATGTGTGGTGCTAGCCTGAAAGTCATCAGAGAAATAGCTTTAAAATTAAGTTGTACCCAAATTGTGGATGTAGCTTTATTGTTGATTGATAATCTTTCAAGATTTACTGTAATTTTTATATGAAATGTGCTATAATCGTATGACAGCAAAAAATAGGGCACATTAGAAATAACAAGCCTCTGTCCTTGTTGTAGGAATGAAGAAAAGAACTTGATCTTGGATAGCAGCAGTAGGGATGAGAATGTGAAGTCAGTTGGATTTGATAACTGACTGACTGTAGGGATAATGAGGAGAAGGGGCAGCTCAACGAGCATGATATTTTGCTTATAGGTGACTAGAAAGATGAAACAGTCCATATGACAAATCTGGCTATGGGTTTCTTTTGTTTCAAAACCAAAATGGAAGCCAGATGTGGTGGATTAGCCTGCAATCCCAACTCTTTGTGATACTGAGATGAAAGGATTGCCTGAACCTGGGGGTTCGAGGCTAGCCTGAGCAAGTAGTTGAGACATCGTCTCTACAATAAGTCATAAAAACTAGCTGGACGTGGTGGTGTGCATCTGTAGTTCTAGCTACTTGGAAGGTCAAGGTGGAAGGATTGCCTAAGCCTAGCAGGTCAAGGCTGCGGATGCCGTGAGCATGCCACTGCACTCTAACCTGGGTGACAAGAGTGAGACTCCTAACTCAAAAAAAAAATATTCAAAGTGGAACTATATTAGCTAACGAAATACAATTCAGGCTGATCACAGTGGCTCATGCCTGGAATCCCGCACTTTGGGAGGTGGGGCCAAAAGGATTACCTGAGCCCAGGGGTTCGCGAACAGTTTGGGCACTGGTAAGACCTCATCTCTACAATCTGTAAAAAAAATTAGCTGGGCATGGTGGTATGCACCTGCAGAACCAGCTACTTGGAAGACTGAGGCAGAAGAATCACCTGAGCCCAACAGGTTGAGGCTGTGGTAGTTGTGGTCATGTCACTGCACTCAAGCCTGGGCAACAGAGTGAGACTCTGACTCAAAAAAAAAAAAATACAGTCAGTCCTCAGTAACTGCAAGGAATTGGTTCCAGCTTCCTTGCAGATACTAAACTCCAGGGATGCTCAGCCCCTGATATAAAATGACACAGTACTTGCATATTCTTTTAATCATCTCTAGATTACTTATATTACCTAATACAATGTAAATGCTACGTAAATAGTTGTCATACTGTATTATTTTATTTGTATTATTATTATTTTTTTTTTGAGTTGGAGTCTCACTCTGTCGCCCAGCCTGGAGTGCAGTGGCTACTCCCGGCCACCGCAGCCTCGACCTGCTGGGCTCCGGCGATCCTTCCGCCTCAGCCTTCCCAGTATCCGGAATTACAGGCATGCGCTACCACGCCCGGCTGATTTTTTTTATTTTTTGTAGAGATGAGGTCTCGCTGCCCAGGCGGGTCTCGAACCGGCGGGCTCAGGCAATCCACTCACCTCAACCTCCCAAAGGCACGGGATTACAGGCTGAACCACCAAGCCCGGCTTATTTGTATTATTTTTTATTGTGAATTTTTTTTTCTGAATATTTTCTATCTGTGGCAGCTGAATCTGTGAATACAGAGGACCAACTGTGTTCTATTATTCTTTTATTCTTTTATTGTCAAATAAAGGTGGACATTTTGGATATGGACTTTCCATTATTTATCTTGTAATTTCTTAAAGAGATAAAAGCAAGTTATTTAACTGGCAAGTTATTTAATATAAAATCTGAAATCAAACATGGATGATATATTGACTCACCACAGTTTTAATGTCAACTATATGTTAGGCACTGTGTGCCAGGCTCTGTACAATCAAAGAACTTTTGAATGTGGCTGCCTGTCCTGGAGAAGCTTGTAATCAAGAGTAGAAGGCAGAAATGAAGCCCACTAATTAGCATGAAGAGTGATAGAAATTGTAAAAGAAACATGCACAGAGGATTTCTAGAACAAACAACAGATAGCAAATTCAGTTAACCTGTATCTAATACATTTGGGTAGTTTCTGTCTCATATCTTCCTTTTTCAGTCTCAAAGATGCAAAATAAATTCAGTGCTACCATAAGCTGTGTTATCATAATTTTGTGGATTCTTACCAAAGAGTCAAGTTAAATATTGTCCCAGTACACATTATTTTAGACAGATAAAGTTAAATAGGTTGAAAATTTTTGGTGATTTTTATACGACTGTAGACATTTCATGAGGGTCGAACCAGAGACTCAAACAAGTTGTTCATAGATGCCCAGTTAATGCTTGTTGGTATAATGAGGAGACTTTGTTATTTAACTATTTCTCATTTACTTTTTTTAAAAAAAGAACTGGTTAGGTCTTAAATTATTATGGATTTTTAACTCTTAAAAAAAGTTTCTGATGCGAAGTCTGATAATTGATTTTGAGTATATAATACTAGGAAAGTATATCTGCTCACATAAGTGATCCTTCACAGGGCCCACAGTGCTGGAAGTCTTTAATACCCTTTTGAAGCATCTGCGTCTCAGTGTTGAATTTGAAGCAAATGATTTACAGGAGGGATCTGTAAACAGTGCCAACTTAAACACAAGTTCCAAAGACAATGATGAGAAGATTGTGCAGAATGCAATCATCCAAACTATTGGTGAGTACATTTCATTTTTTAAAACCATCATGTGAAGCAGTAATTTAAGTAAGGTACTGAACTCTTATAGTATATTTGTCAAAAATAATTGATAGCTTAGAATTCTAAAATCTTTATATTTAGAAAATAAACAAGTGTCTGCATGTGGTGGCTCATGCCTATAATCCCAATATATTGGTAGGCTGAGATGGGAGGATCACTTGAGGCCAAGAGTTCAAGACCAGCCTGGGTAACATAGCAAGACCCCCATCTCTATAAAAATAAAAATAAAAAATTAGCCTGGCATGGTGGTGTAGGAAAGGGGAAGAGGAAAAGGAGAAAGAAAGGAAGAATTTAACATTGGTAAAATTTAACACTAATATAGTATTTTAACGAATCTTCCTTTCATATTTTATTTTTACTAATTGACCCAATAATGTCCTTTAGAGTTTTTTGGGGTTTTTTTCCCAGTTATTTTGGATTTTTTTTTTGGCTTGGGTCCAAGAGTTAGTCTAGACTCATATATTGCATTTAGTTGTAATATTTCTTTAGTTTCATTAGTCTAGGGCATTTCCATTATGGCATGGATATTTTTTAAAAGTTAAGTCCTCCTCCCTTATTTTTTTTTTTTTGAAAGAACATTTCTCATTTGGTTTTGCCTGGTGTTTCCTCATGATTAAGTTTAGATTATATATTTCCAACTGAAATACTACATATGTGATGTGTTCTCAGAGAAGCACATCCAGAGGTACACAGTGTATAATTACTCCTTACTGGTTATGTTAATTTTGATCACTCAGTCATGGCATCGTTCTCTTCATTGTACAGTATTGATTTTTTCCATTGTAAATAATAAGCAGTCTCTGAGAAGACACTCTTAGACTATGCAGATATTCTGCTTTTTATTCAAACTTCCCCCTTAGATTTGGCATCCATTCACAATCCTTGCCTGAAATAGTCTTTACCATGATGGCTGTAAAACGATGGTTTTTAAGCTCTAGCACTCCTTCCACAACTACCAGTTTTCACTCAGTGTTCTATTGTAAGCAAGAGCCCCCTTTCCTACTTTTGAATGTATGTGGGAATGCATGTATTCATCTGTTTATTGTTGGCATGAACTCATGGATTTATATTTTCATGGATTATGATTCATTACTGTACTTAGTTATTTTTGTGCTCAGATTGTCTCAGATTTGGCCATGGAAGCCCCTTTAAGACATCAACACCACCCCCGCCCCCCCCCCCCCC